ATAAATAAATAATAAAAGTGAATATGTTAGATAGCATGTATCTATTGTTCAGTAAAAATTAAGGAAGACATCATTCAAACATGTATTCCCCTAAATAAAAGAAATAGAGAACATTTATACACATAGGGTCAGTGCAATACAATTTGTTTACTCGACTAAGGATTGGATTGGCAGAAGAATCATATCTAACTGTATTTCATGGGCGTGGAATGTTAGATGGTGAGGAAATTTAGACAGGAATTGATTCTGTTGGAGAAAGGACAAGGAAATAGATTTGCAGGTTTACGAGAAAAAAATCCATATTAATGACCAACTAATATATCCCGGCAAAGATAGAAAAAGAAATATTCATGATTACATGAAATGTTTAAAGGAAATTGACAAATGCATTAGATAAAATAAATATATTAGGATTAGTGGGACGAGAAGAAGCAGAATACATAAGAATAAAAATAGAAAAACTAAAAAAGATTTGGCAGCTTTAATAATAATATTGCTTTGAACAAAACATAACCGTAGAAAAATATTCAAACCTAGAGACACTAAGTCTTGTTATTTCTGATGCCAAGCAAAGACCTCCCCCCACCACTAAGAGATCTTATCCTACGCGAATAATTTTTTCAAGTATCAATATTGGATGTCACTATTAGTTGTGGTCCATGAAATGAAGCATGTTACTTTCTAAATTGGAAGTCTTGTATCACATTAGATGATATAAACAAGTTTATCTCGATGCATTATGATATACATACAACAGAGTTTTTTTCCAGCCATGACTGTGGACTGTGCATGTAGTACTGCAATAAGTATTTATTCAAAGTTCATCCTTCATGAGTTGGCGTTAAAAGATAGTATATGCTATAGCAGCTTTTTATACATCTGATAAGAGCAGGCAAAGCAAGACCTGCACAGATAAGTTTTAGCAATCAATATTGGACATCACTATCAACTGTTGCCCATGAAGTAAAGCATGATACTCGATTATATAAACAAGTTTTGTCTTGATCCGTTTATGATGTAGAACATACAGTCCTTTTAGCCATATGATCGTCAGTAATGGATTCACTAAGGCAATAAGTATTAAGTATTTATGTCAACATTCATCATTATGCATTGGACCTTAAAGATAATTCACTATAAGGGCATGTGAAAATTGTCAACTTGATGTGGGTCTCCTACAGGATAGGAATTGATTTGCTAGTAGCACTTCTTGGTTTGGGGTCCAACAACCCTATACCTGTGTCTAATGGAAGAAACTGGAGAAGGAGCTGATGGTAGCACTGATGGACATATTAAAATACTTAAGAGACAACGTTTTGATGGAACAATGTGTGGGGTCAGAGATCAAATAGTAAGTTGACTCAAACTTCACTTTGCCCAAACAATGAAGAGCTACTATCAAAGAGAGGGGATGGGGTCCCAGTAGTGGGCCCTTGAGATCATGTCATCGTAGAGTCTTCCCCATTAGAAGCAGATGAAGATGCTTAGCATCTTAAACTATAGAATCTATTAGTTGCAGGTCTTCTGTTTTGATGACAACTATAGCTGCAATAGAAGCGGTGGTTTGTATATTGTGTGGATGAATGTAGCAGTACAAGAGGGTCGGTGGGAGTTGCAATTATAGCTGTCGTTTGTCTTGTTTGGTTTCAGAATAGATATATTCTGGATAGGAAAATAAATAACTTAAATTAAGATTCAATGTTTCAAAAATGATGTAATATATTGCATTTGGTTGAGTTGAACTAAAACTGAGGGTTAAAGAAAATATGGATGCATGTTGCAATCAAAGCATGATTAGAAGAGATCAGAGAATTGAAGTGTTCGATGTGGTGGAGATGGCAATATTAGCCTATTAGTTGTATGTCCATGCTATGTTTTGTTAGAAAATATTATTGGTGTGCATTATAGTTTAATGTCATGTCATATATTTAATGACATTATATGCTCACTTGTATAATAGGATATATATCATCATCTCTGTGATAACTCCAACATTGAAACTGCTAATTTTGTGGATGCCTTTTGGCAAAACTTAACCTACCCATAATCATTTTTCTTCCTTGGTAGAATAGCATTAATATTATTCCAGAGGACAAGAGTTGTAATTCAAACATGTGGCTCTCACTTTCATACCTTAAGATTGTCTACACTAAAGATAGAAAGAAAGAAGAGAAATCCTGTGAGCAGATTAGAATTAGCCATTCAGAAGGATTCATCCATCTAAAACCAAAAAGTATGCATCTTTATGTTGATGACCTCTTCATGGCATATGTCATATTTATGCGGCTCTTAAATTAGACTTGGCTGATCCCTAATTCAACATATCATAGTAATAAAATTCAACTAGTAAACTGGTTTTAGGCTTGGTAAAAATGGAGAACACATGGAAGGGCTAAATTAGTGTTCTCATGGGCAGATGGGAGTTGCATGGTGGTGATGTCCCACCTACTTGCAGCTCCTTTTTCATCACCTTGGAATCCCTTCTCACTTTGAACATACAATGGAAAAGCATGTCCCAAAAGCTGGAATTATTCTCTTTAGGCAAACATCACAACCAATCCTTTCCTGTGAAAAAGGAACCACATATTTCCTTCTCTCATCCAACTTTCTTTTCTGGTTGCTGTTCCGAGCATTCATGTCAAATTCTATTCACCAAGTTATATTATTTTTCATCTTTTATCTTGAAATAATTATCAATATTTTCTAAGCATAGTAGAGTTGTTGGAGGAACTATAGAAATGTTCATGCACAGATCAAGAATGTGCATGCATGTCAAATTATAGACAGCCCTCATAGATATAGATTACCCACAGGATGGATAAATGTTCATAGTCTCATATGAATCCAATCTTTAACCTTGAGATAAGAAAGAAGGATGTGCTGCACAAACATGAGATCATGACAACATGATAGATATCATGGCTGTACATACTAAAGGAAAAGTTCAAGACTTAGCTAATACGAGGTTATACACAGACAAATAAGCCACGTAAGGTCATGTTTATTCTAATCAAATGTGCATGGACCAATTCCCATGTGAAAACAAGAAGAAAATGTATGCATGCCACCATCAACATGTCAGCTTCTGAGCCACAAGTTCACATCCACAGGTGACCAGTCATCTTCTAGAGTTTTACCATTATAAATAATTAAACTAATGGAAGCTATGGAAAGTATGCATGCTTAGTGCTAATCCCTTCTGATCAAACAATACGAATCGCTTAATTAATTGCAATTTTCTTTCTTCCTCTTCCTCTTGTTATCACTCTGATACGCTGACAACGTCCGAATCCTCGAGAGTAATTAATGTGTAGTTCAAGATTAACTTTTGTTATGGTCTCCATCATCTCAGTATATACATATTGTTTCCGATGACTACTTTTCTTACATTGTTAGTATTAATATTGCCTCGTCTTGGTTGTGACAGGTGGAGAGCAATACATTTCCATGCCCATGATGTGTAGTGTCTCACATTGGCAGCGGTCATGGCACTTGTGTTTCCTATATGTTCTTTTAACTTTGGGAAAGCATAGTTTTCAGTAGCTCTTAGATGATTTTTCTGATGCCTCTATTTCTGTGTATCGGACTTGCACATACGTATCTTAGACAGCAAGAGGGTATATGTAGACCTTCCACCTTTATTCAAAGAAACCGAAAAGAAATGCTCTCACAATATTTTTGTTCCTTTTCTTTTCGCTTTAGAGATTCCAAGTCATGGGAAGCGGATAGGATCGAGGAGGTGTCACCACAACTGTGGCCAAAAGCCAGGGCAAAGATGGCCATCACCAGTTGTCTTCCCCAATAAACATCCAAAAATCTTCATGTCTCGAGGTGCGTGTGTTTGTCTCAGTGGTGATAGGTGTTTGTTTCTCCATTCCAATGCAGCACTCCCATTCATCTCGCTTCTTCCAAACCTATGTCGTCCATGAGGAGGGGGGTGGGGGGGTGGGGGGAGGTGTTGGGACCTCGTGCATTGCATCGGGTTCTCGGTGGGGAACAGTACAAGAAGCTGCCGGAAAATGATTGACTTGGACTCTGTCACAGGTAGTAGCCATGCGGCATGCCTCCTCCTCCTCCTCCTTCCCCTTCCTTTTTCTGTGCAGGCCATGGGAGGTGGGGGTGGGGCCAAGGGACACGGGGGAGGCAGGCTCGCGTGTGGCGGTGAAGTCTGACACGAGACCCCAGGCAATGACCAAAAGACACCTATCACCGGGTGGACCCGCGATGGGTACCGGTGGGACCGGCGGGTATTAAAAGATTGAATTCGATGGAAAGCGCACCTTTTCTGCGTACTGCTGAAATGGTCGGTATCGCACGTCACCGTGAAAACTCGGGATTTGTTTGCTGGTATTGTAGTGTGTGTTTAAGCCACCCAAGAAAAGAAACCCGAAAGATAAATTTGGCACCAATAATAATATTAAATCGAGATACCTTCTTTTATAGGGACTCGATCATTTCTTGGATCTGCATGAATCCAAGAAAAAAATTACTTAAATATTAATTTAAGAATGAGTCCGGTGAAGGGTTGATGATTTGTGATATATCGAGATGTGTTCGAGGAGGATCTTTCTGATAATTAATAGATTCAGAAAAATAAAAAATAAAATATTTTATATTTAAAATATTCGAGAGTCGAAGGAGTATACTTGAAATCTTCTCATAGAGAGTTGGGGTGTACGACGTTGGATCAAACGTGTAGGGATAATTTGGGGGCCACGACAAAGTTTTGAGTCAATAAAAAAACCAGCAAAATGGATCTAAAAACACTTGACTTTTTGAGCAAAAGAAATTTGGAGGGGTCAGAATAGAATAGGAAGGGAATATGCATTTGGGACGAGTTTCATTTGGCTTCTCATTTCACATTCGACCCCAAACACAAGTCAGCCTCTTAACCCACCCCGGTCACCCTAAACTCAACCCCAGGGTTTCAACACTCCACTTGACCTCTTCTATTTATGGAGGCCGGGAATCTATTGCTTTCTGTTCTGCCACCCTCTCCGCTATCCCTTTCAGCTCCAGCACCTCTCTCTCTCTCTCTTTCTCTCTCTCTTCCCCCTCCCATTCCTTTCTCTCTCTCTCTGGTCTATGAGAACTCCTATAGATTCAGACCACAGGATGATGTCTCGCCATTGATGGGTTCTGAAGCAGAGGAGATGAGTCAGAAGGAGAAAGAAGAGGGGATATGGAAGAGACTCTCCTCCCCCTCCTCCTCTGTTCTTTCTCTATCCTCCACACGGCTGCTCCCACTGCTGCTGTGTGTAACCTTGCTTACCTACTTCCTTTAGAGTGTGACGGGTATCGTATGCTTCTTGGACATCGCAACTTCTTCTGAAACCATCGAGCAGCTGTGAGAGCATGAAGAGGCCGCTCGGTTACTCGGATCATCTGATCCCCACTGGTACTCGACATGCGTGTTGTGATCAGAATTCTTTGCTCTAGTTACAGAGTAATTACTTGGTCTCTGATTTGGAATTGGTGTAGGAGAAGAGAGAATCATGTTCCAGCCCTTCATCGATGGGGTGGAGGACGATGAGTTCATGGACGAGGAGATGTGCAGCGGCGGCCCCCGGGGGGCCAAGAAGCGCCGGCTGAGCGCGGACCAGGTGAGGGCGCTGGAGAAGAACTTCGAGGTGGACAACAAGTTGGAGCCGGAGCGGAAGGTGAGGCTGGCGCAGGAGCTCGGCCTCCAGCCCCGGCAGGTGGCCGTCTGGTTCCAGAACCGCCGGGCCCGGTGGAAGACCAAGCAGCTGGAGCACGACTACGCGGCCCTCAAGGCCAGCTACGACCAGCTCCGCCTCGACTGCGATGCCCTCCGCCGTGACAAGGAGTCCCTGCTCGCAGAGGTGAGCTACCGAGCTTGATCCAAGTTTAAGTCGAATTGCTCGTACATGGATCCGATTCTGCGGTGGTACAGATCAAGGAGCTGAGGGCCAAGTTGGCCGAGGACGGGAGTCTAAGCTTCTGCCTCGGCAAGGAGGATCCGGTGGCGTCCGATGCCGAGCAAAAAGCCACGGCCCCGCAGGAGCCACCGCCTCTGATCTGCAAGGACGGGTCTTCGGACAGCGACTCGAGCGCCGTCCTCAACGACGCCATCCTGAACGACGACGACAGCCCTCGAGGGCTGTCGTCGTCGGCGTCGGCCCCCAACATCCTGTCGGTGGCAGCGATCGGATACGGCACCTTCTCTTCCTTTCCGGCTTCTCCGCCGCCGTTGCTAAACTTGGATTTTAGGACACTGAAACCCATCGGAGGACTCAATCATCAGAACCATGCCATGAAGATAGAAGAGCTTCTTGGTGTGGTCGAGCCATGCAGTGGCTTCTTCTCTGACGACCAAACTCCATCACCCAACTGGTTCTACTAGAGCTAAAAGCCATGATGAAGATGATGAATGTGTTGAAATCGAAGGAGCTTTATGGAAATTTTGTTATGTAATCTTTCTCAATGTTCCACTGTGCATTATTGCAATAAGAATCGAAAAGGAAATGCTTTCGCTGTTGTAAGAGAAGGAGAAAGACTTTGATCTCTTTCTATCATCAGTAGAAAAAATCATGAGTTGCATATTTATTGTTCCAACAAGCTTTGCTACATATGTTCATATGAGCCCCTTTCTTTATTTGAGCTTAATTATAATTATTGTATTATCCAACACAACACCAATGTTTTCCTTCTTCTGTGTTTCGTCTCCTTAATAAACACACAATGCCTGCAGTCCTAATCAATTCCATGTTTACACCCATCTTGATGATACTTGGAATGGAAGAAGATTCCCTCCATGAACAACTTCGAAGGTTCCCCCAAATAGGAGATGTTGCAATCAAACTGATTTGGTTAGCACTACAAGAAAACTTCGTTCTTCTATCTGATAAGTAGATGAGATTTCACTAAGAGGAAATCTTTCTACTCTGTTGAGGGAAATCCTCTAACCCGTTGAGGAAACTTCTCCTTCTAACCTGTATATAAAGACGGAGGATATGTCAATAACATTCAACTTCTTCTTCTACAACTCATTTATCTCTTTATTTTAACACTATCAACTTTTAGTCAATTTGATCTAAGTTTGAACAGTGTAGTGTGGTGATGAGTTGTGAGTGATTCCTATTCGATGACTGGTTTTGAGCCATCCAGCGAGAGATATTAGCTTGCACAGAGAGAGAGAGAGAGAGGGATTGGTTGAGCATAAACATGTCATCTTCTACCTAACAAATATCTTTATGTCGAGACGAAGACTATGTTATTCTTGGAATTCATGTGTCTCTTACATGGATTAATTGGCACAAACATCTGAGAATAATTTAGTAGTCGATTAAAGAAAATTATCTCTTTTGAGACGATTCATGTATTGTTGCACAAGTAATGGCTGTCAGGTTCGAGTCCACGTCTTATACGTTATTTAATATAATAAATGGGAATTTTTTATGTAGTGCTCATTTTAACTGCTGATTTCTGGCAAATTAATATTGTGTCAGAAGTCCATTTTGAGTGGCCAACCACAGAAGATAACTTGGACCACAATGTTATGCCATCAGATCACTCTCAGCTGCTGGATTTGATTCCCAATAAGTTCAATCTCTCTCTCTCTCTCTCTCACACACACATACACAATTACCATAGAAAAATCAGATGATTAAAGTAGCAAAAAATTTCTTATTCTAAACATATGGAAGGGTAAAACATAATCCTTCTAAAAACTAGTGATGAGGGAAGGAATTGTTGCTTAGAGCTAAATGGTTTGAGGATCCAATAAGAAAAATACAGAAGAGTTTAAGGGATCAACTTGAAACAACATTTAGTGAGAATGTAATTACTTGTGCAGTCTTCTAGATGGAATCTTTATCAGGCATCTGTGTCACATATTGCTGCAGGCAACAACAAGTGTGAATGAAATCTCAAAGTGCATTAGGGATTTCCTCCTTGACCACAGGAGTCAATGGATAGAACTTGCGATGTTTATTTCGACATATGTGTGAGGCTCCTCCTGTCAGTATAATCTCATCTCCTAGGAGAAGTCGGAAGGACAAAGTTGTGAAGGTGAAAGGCTCCGACGTGTGCATGCACGTACGGTCTCACGCATGTCAACACTAGCGAGCTTACACTGAGCCACGGATGAGGGCTTCTTGTGTTTATGATCAGATGATCCACGCTTGGGAAAAAGAACACTGGTGGAAGAAATGGAGGGTCGAATTAACATCCTTCACCTCCCGCAACTCCAATTTTTATCTCCCATCCATGCAGCTGCCGTCTTATTGCTCGGCATGACTTCTAGCCATCTTTTTCTTTCTTCTCTCTCTCTCTCTCTCTCTCTCTCTCTCTCTCTCTCTCTCTCTCTCTCTCTCTCTCTCTCTCTCTTATCACCGGCCAGTGAAGAGCGTACCTTTTCTCTTTTCTTCTTCGTCTTCTTTCTTTCTGCTACAACCCAATCCACTAGTAGTATGCGGGGTTGATCCGACGCCCAAGACAAAGTCAGCAACAGACAGACGGAGAGAGGGCGATGGCATGCTTGGACTAGAGAACCACCGCGTTTCGGCCCCCCACCCCTCCCCCGCTCTAATCTAATCTTTCCGTCCCATCCTATGTGGTCCAGAGTGGGCCGTCCCCCACGCAACAAAAGCCAAGAAAGCAAGCGAAGACAGCGAAGGCTGGGGGAGGGGTGGGGGATCGCTGAAAGCCATATGAGCAGTTTGTAATGGGAGACAAAAGCTCTGTGGTCCGCGGCAGGTGGACTTTAGCAGCCCCTCGATGAGGCGGGGTCCGTTCTCTGAACCAATAAGGCGTCCTTATTGGTCCGATTCCCGACAGGCTCCGTGGTTTTGAGCACGCTCATTGGCTCGAATGACGATGGTCCTGGCTGATCCGAGACAGAAGATCCTGGAAAAAAAAAGTGGGAAAGGGGGTTGCAGGGACACAGAACGGTGGATCCCCCTTCCACGAACCCCCCGAACAGACCAAGAAAGCTGGCGGAAAGCAACGAGACACGCACCGCGAGGACGCGACAGGAGTGGGCTACCGTCGTAGCACGGCTTCTCGGTTCCGCCAAACGCCTTCCCCCCCTACCAGGCCGGGCATCAGAGTTGGCGTCCCCACGTCGTCTCTTGGCGGTGGTCTTTTTCGTGTGGGATCGTAATGTTAATGTAAGGCATCGCCGTGAAAACTTCGTGGCCGTCGTACCGACGCTGCCATGGCACTCATGATGTGAGACCTATGTGGGATCTTTATATATATATATATATACACACATCGGCATGGAGTTGCGAGCCAACTGTGGACGGAGTACGAGACGGGTTAGCTTTTATGGGGGTGTGGTGGATCCCAGTGATACCTCGTATTTTGCGCAAGATTTGATGAAAGAAAGGATGGTGCGCCTATCTATGAATGTGTCGTAGGGAATGCGCTGTCGTTGGGCCTATCGCCGCCAAGGAGATAGATAGATAGATAGATCTAATCTTTTATACGTCCCGAGGTAAGTGCCTCGATTCTTTCAACTCAGCTTGGATGCGGTGGAAAGAGTCCGAAATCGTGACAGCTGGAGTGAACAATTCCAAACAACGAGTTTTACGGATCCATTTTAACAGTTTGATGGCGAATCCAATCATAGTCACCATAATAACAAAGGCCGTCCCGGCCCATCAAGCACCGGTGTTCCTTCATTAGTCTTAAACAAACGACGGTTGACATCACTTCAATTAGCATGCATCTCAGATGATGAGATTTAAGAGATCGTAAGAAGCAACCAAATTTCGTATCGAACCATTTCCCCTACAGATGAAGCTTCTGAAGGTTGTGGGTGGTTATATACATACATATAGATATAAATATGCACCGAAAGACATACGGCCACAAGCTCTTGCTTTCAGGATAGTAAGAGGTCCACCAACGAGAGTTTTCGCGGTCTTTCCTCGTGTAGTGTGGTTGTTGCGAGCTCTTTGCTCTTACTGGAACTCTTCAATCACTTGAAGCTTCTCGAGGATCAACTTTTCTTGCTTGGCATCTATGTATGGCATGTCAAGAATTTCAAAGGAATGCAACGAAAAATGGATGTTTGCTTGGCATCTATGTATGGCATGTTAAGAATTTCAAAGGAATGCAACGAAAAATGGATGTTTGCTTGGCATCTATGTATGGCATGTCAAGAATTTCAAAGGAATGCAACGAAAAATGGATGTTTGCTTGGCATCTATGTATGGCATGTCAAGAATTTCAAAGGAATGCAACGAAAAATGGATGTGCATATGCTCGACTCTATGTGCATAAAAGTGGCGCTATTAGCCACCCATAAGGTAATATTCAATAAACCTTGTTACTTGTCATGTTAAACAACTAGGTAAACTACCATGCTATAAACAAAATGACGTAACCCTGATTTATGAAAAAGAAAATATGTTCAGAAATCTAAGAACTGAAACTCTTCTCATTAGCAATGGACCGAATTGCAAAACTAGGATACCTACATGCATGTGATGTAAATTGATGACTATGCGATGAAATTCAGTGATCTCACAGGATACATTCCTCATCAGGATTATCGGTAAAATTGGAGTGTAAAGCATTCCCAACGCTGTCCACAATGGCAGATGTTGTCATTGATGATTCGATGCATAAAATTGCAGCAATAGCATCAAGCTGTGTGACCTCATTCCTGAACATGAGTCTTGCGTGTGCTGCAAGAGAAAGGCAGTTGAATTATATAATCAAGTAACGAGGAGCCTCGATGGCTGACTCTGCTTCTACAGCATACCTTGCGCCAATCTTATCAAACTTTCAAGCATTCGCACAGTGGTTCTTGCTGCATAAATATATCTTCCTGAGACACGGCAAGCTTTATCTTATGATAGCATTTCCATACTAACCTGCATTATGTATTGCTGATCTTCGCTGGAGTTGATAATAACTTGAAATAACTCTTTCAGACTCCTTTGTCAGCACAGGTTTAAAATGTTGCTTTACATAGTGAATATACCTGCATATTGAACTTCAGAAGGTAAAAGGACATCTCTCCACTCCAGCCAACAAACTAAATCAAATTCAAACATTATTTGGATGTTATTGAACATGCCCCTCTTCCAAAAACTTACTCAAATTAAAATGTTTCATTATCCAACTAGCAACAGTAGTAATAAAAACATGGATTGGCAAGTATTTGACAGAGCACTCCATAAATTTTGAGGTGCTGTCAGATATGTTCCCCATGTGCAGAAAGAAGATTTTCTTGTTAACTCAATCATTTATTTAATTGCTTCCAAGAAGATATCCAGAGGCTGAAAAACACTTTACATACTGAAAAGTATAATAAAATTGTACAGAACTACTTTCCGCAGATACAAAGTTCTAATAAGACCAATAAAAGGTTGTATCCTTTGTTTTCTCTTTTGTGATCTGTCAATATTGTACCAAATCACTTCTTCAGCACTCATGATGTAATTTATGGACTCCACTAATCTCATGAACTTACCATGAACTTTGTATAGATCAAATAGATTATTTGGTACCTTTTTTGAATTTTCCTTTCCTTGGAAAGCACAGTTGTTTTGCATTTGATAAAATACATATTCACTGTATATGTGTGTGTTCGCATAACACATATGTTTTCTACCCTTATTTTTCTAAAACTTACAGCCTCCTCGAATTTCAGTCTGCACATGCTTCAAGTTAGCCTAAACATCTTATTCTTATTGCTTTTAGCATGACAAGTTGTGTGCCGTCAGCTCATTTTCACTACCCTTACAAGAATGCTTTAAATTTGATCCATTATGAGTCAAAGTCAAACTTTGAACAGAGATGATATATGGCTAAATTTCATAGTGTTGCTATAGAAAATAAATTAGTGCAATCTGAAGTATTAGTGTCCCCATTACGACAAGCACTTCTCTTTTCATCATGTCTCCAAGTCAAAAGAAAAAATATTCCAAAAATTAACATCAACTAAACAGAGTGGTGCAAAAATATTTTTTGTGAAATATAAAGAAACATCTGAGGACAACAGAAGCACAAGGAACTCTAAGGCTTACCTTCTAAGCATCACTACTGACCAGATATTATCTATGAACTCATCATTTTTGCTTCCCTGTTCTCCATTCTGGAAAGTCAAATGATCAATTCAACTAAAATTTCATCTTAAAACTTTATATCAATCATATGGAAATTTTCATATAAGATGAATTGATTTGTAGCAATTGGTTAAGACATAAGAGAGTTATTTCACCATTATAATAGGCAAGCATGGATATTTACCATTGCCAGAATATGAGATGAAACAATGGCATCCCATTCAGGATTTTTGGTATCCAAGAGAACAAGAACTATATCAAATCTGCTCAAAAGTGGCCCAGAAAGAGTTGTGTTCACAGATAAAGCTGAAAATTGCAAAGAGAATTTGCGTCACAAGTTGGAAAAAATGTATAAAAAATCTTCTACTGAAGCATCAATTAGTCAAGTAACATTTATCTTGCATGTGTCCATATAACATAAAAATACAACAATTTTGAGTTATATGCATGACATTTTTATTTTATGTTGAAGGTACATGAACATAATGAACAAGTCTGAACGGACAAGCAAAGATGAAATGTCAAGAGTTTGCCATAGTAGGATGATGATGATTTTAATGCCAAGGAACAATGAGATGGGAACTTAAATGCAATTGTCTATGAAGAGTTTCCAAATCATGAGATATGTAGCAATATATAGCAAATACCAAGAGCAAACATGAGGCTTTGTTACTGCTTATGCTCACTTATCCTCAGATAAAATTAGAAGTTAAACTGCTAATCGAAGTACTAATTGCCTGATTTTATTTTCCAGGGATATTTTCAACAGCATTCATTTTTTATACTTGACACATCAAAAGAAACCAACTATTCATTTTAGATTTTAAGATTACAATAAGCATCTTGATGTCCATCAGATGTCAAAAAGCTCACTGATTTGTGGACAATAAGAAGTCAAATATTTACATTTGGGCTTAACTTTACCAAATTTTTGTAATTCGACAGAAAAAGCAGTTCAATTTTTAAAAGAATGAAGTACCTTGATTAGGATCATATTGTCCCTTTGGATTAGTTGCACCAAACACGATTGTTCTGGTACTGAGAGTAGTCACCAGGCCAGCCTGAAATTTAAAATAATAATTAACTTGAGTTCACAACACTTTCATCAAAGAATAATTAATGCACTAAATGGGGTAAATTGTCACTTTATCTAAATAAATATTGTTGATTATTGACAAAATATATGAAAAAAACATACTAATAACCGAGGACAAATTAAAGCAATAATTTTGTTCTCCAAACTGTCTACCCAAGTAAAGAATGAACATCATGAAGTATCAGTAAGATCAACAACCTAATCAATAGTAGTATCAATGATTAAAAGTACATATTTTGAATTGAAACCAAACTGAAAATTGTGCATGTCTTAGTAGTAATTTGGTTAATATTGAGAATTATTTACATGAATAGCTTGAATGGCTTCCTGGAAATATCGCTAAGATATCACTTAAATACTTTTCAAAGCAAAAAAAAATTCATATCCAAGAAATTGCATCAAACTAATATTGAAAAAGATAACTCCTAGTACTAAATAATAACTAACAAAAAAATAAACAAAAGACACCTTTGCGACACTGATAGTTTGTTGCTCCATTGCTTCATGTATGGTTGCTCTATCATGCTCTCGCATGCTATATATATATGCACAGAGGAATTGTCAGTCCAAGGTTTATCCTGAATCTCACAAAACAATAAGATAACTGATAAAATTTTAACGGCGGATGGGATGTAAGAAGTGTAACTAAGCATATTAAAACTCCATTATGTATTTTTTGCAGCATATACTAGAGTTCAGAACAAGTACATTTTAGTTTTCTCTGTCAAAACATTCACAATAATTGCTCAAAAGATAAAAAGAAAAAATAGCATAACATAAGAACTTAAGAACCAAGAGAAACTAGTATAACAGATTACTGGTCTACCATGTACATGCATGCCAAACTGATACACCGAAGGAAGTACATACAACTCCACAAAGTACTGAAATATAGTCTTAAATGGGACCATATTTTACAACCCACCCAATATCAAATATGTTCTACTTAAAAAAAAATCACCAGCAAGGAAGGCAATGTTGTTCAATGTTTTCAAAGATATACTAACACATAAATAGAGTTCTTAAGAACTAGGTCACTAGGGATGAGCCAAAAGCTATTATGGTTAGGGCTTAAGCAGTTGTGCAGCTATAGAAAATGACATCAATATGAAATAAAATCTTTGATACTATATGTATTAAGTATGTCGTCTCCTTTACAACAAGTAACCATTTTTTTATTGGGCTTGGTCTCTGCTTGGTTTGATTGGAACTCCGATTAGACTGAATTGGAGTTTAGCTCGAACTTTACTTGATCATCCCTAATCAAAATAAACCTAACTTGATATCTCCTTAGTAGTGCATTATCACCATAAAGTACATGACATGGTAGAGTATGAAAGTAATTGATCCTTAAGTAGTGAAACTGCGTTAAAATATAGCCAATATGAGAAACCCTTCATTAAAGAGAAGATCTTGGAAGCAATAATATACCAAAAAGAGAAGCACTGAAATAAAAGAAACAACAAACCTGTCAAATTCATCTATGCAACAAAGTCCCCCATCAGCCAAAACAAGTGCCCCAGCCTCTAGCATCCATTCCCCTGTTAAGTATATATGAGAGATGGCATAGGAGGTACAAGTAAATAATCACATGAAAAAATAGCATAGTTTCAAAATTAAGATGAGAAGCAAGCATCTTTCATTATTTGGTACCAATTTGAAACTCATTAACTTACAATAATCCCATTACTCAAATTTGTGTTCAAAAGGGCAGCCTAATGCACTAGGCTCTTGCACGTGTAAGGCATGTATTTAGCCTTATCCCTGAAACCAAAAAGGTTATACATGTGATTTAAACCCTGGTCATACCTAAATCACAAATGAGCAATCTTACCATGATATCAAGGCTCATGCTCCATTTGGTTCTGAATATAGAAGTTATTATTCATCCATTTTCCAACACAATTAGGATCTAATTATTCATCTCAAAGCCACCATCCTTACTTTCTCAAGCATTACACTAGACATTAATAATATAATAAGAATCACAAAACAAAAGGCACCACTAGCTCCCAAACAGCACATTACCAGAAGAATTCATAGGAAGAAGATCAATGAGAAAATCACCTTCATGCAGATGGTGGCTGCAATTTCAAAACTATTATAAGCAACATTGATATTTTAAATTTCTTTGTGGAAGATGTGCTTTACTTGTTTGTATGAGCACAAAGAAACTAAAGAATATAGGTTATTACTTAAGACCTATTGGGACTAGACTGAAGAAAAGAAGAAAGAACTAATCTTCACAATACCTTAACGACATCAAAGAGGATCTCCAATGTCCAAAATCCCTTAAGACATAAGCCTTAAAACTTATTTAACTTGGACATAAAAATTTTGTTGTTCAGTATTTCGGTCTCCCATGCAAAGCTCACAAAATAAGAAACTGATGAGTGAGACAATAATATGGACATACAAGAAAGAGATAAAGAAGTAAAAAGAAGTAAAACACAATACAAATTTATAAAGAATATTATAAAGAAAGAAGTAAATCACTGAAACTTTTAAGCTGGAGTACTTGATGGTGCTATAACAAAAATAATTTGCCACTAGTCTGCGAGTTTAGATTGATCATAAAGGCATAAAAAAATATTTATTAAGAAAAATATGTAAGAGTGCAAAAAATTCAATATTTAAATATTAAGCAGTGTTTAAAAGGGAAGAAGACACAAGCAAAGCATACAAGACCTCCATCCTTGACAGCAGTAACAGTTAAGCCAGCACTGGTGCTTCCCAACCCAGTAGTGATCACAGATCGGTTGCTTAGCTTTGCAGCAAACTTTAAAAACTGAGACTTACCAGTACCTACAATTTGATAAATAAGAAACTATTTAGCTGTCTTTGACAGATACATGAAAAAAGTCAACTATCAACCAATAGCTCAACTTTTTACTACCAGCTGCCTTTTATTGTAATACTTTTATATTCATAAGGAAAACTAAATAAATTGATTTACCATGTTTCATAGATGTATATGCATAAGGAAAAATATTTACTCAATTGTCATAGTGTTGACTCATAAAACTAGAAATGCTACACAATGTATAACAAGTAACTATTCAATTTAAATTCAAAAGCACAATTTCAAGTTGTTCAAGAAAGACACAACGTGAAGAAAGACAAAAAGTGCTAAGGCAAAAAATGAAAATAGTACCTAAGAGCTGATTTCTCTGCATTTCAGTTAAATCCAACATAACTTTTAGCCTTGTAATAGAAAGAACATTCAAGAAGAGAAAAAAAAAACAACACATGGGTTAAATTGCAGAAAGCATGTCTCAGCAAGTCAGTCATTTAGCAGGAATAGAGGAAAATTTTAAGTGTGTGTAATTGTTAAGCACATTTATACAGTTTATACAGGAGAAAGGAACATAAGAAACAGTAATGATAAGCAAGAAAATGATCAAAAGAAAATGTCACAAATAAACACATCTTATATATATATATATATATATATATATATATATATATATATATATATATATATATATATATATATATATGAACTTCAGGCATAGTATTTGAAGAATGTTCCATCATGCACTATTTGAACCTAACCTAGCTTTATTTGACAAAAACAAGTCTATAAAAGCATATTCAGAATTACAATGAAAAGTTATGGAATATAAAATTAAATCAAAAGAGCAAGAGTGCATGAACCTAATTAAGCAGTAAATGAATCAGAATCAGGTTCAGGCAAAGGATGTCAAGATATGCCATGAACACTTTCCTTAAAATGGTAGTCATGATATAGACACGGAAAGAGAAGTATCTAAAAGAACAAGGTGGATGTAGAGACTGGAGTAATAAAGAAATGCCCTCATCCATGTGGAAAAAGCATGGAGAAAATAAAATGAGGCATGCAATATTTTTTGCCTAAAGTAGACAAATGATAAAGTTAGATAGCCACATTATATTCAACAAGATGGGTAAAAACATGCAACAATATTAAAGAAAAGAGGAGAAAGTTAAGCAAAACATGCTCTATCACCTTTGCTTACAAAATCATATAGGCATAATATTATGGCCCTTTCATGACCTTTATTTTGGATACCAAGATATCAATTTGATATAGACAAATAGAATAATGACCTCATTAGAAATGTGAAATAACAAAGGTCATATCTGATGAAAGTTACCAACCATGCAGCAGGTGATACCTGGGTCACCAACAAGAAGCAAGTGAGATTCTCCACGAATCTTTGTTCCAGAAGCATCAACATGTTGGACTCCTCCAATAAGTGTCAAAGCAACTGTGGTTTCAGAAGTGTGAAAACAGTTAATTGAGAACCAAAGAAAATGGAAATGTTAAAGATGAAACAGATTCCTACTTGTTCAAAGAGGGAAAAGTGACATATGCCTTTATACTAAATTAAAGGTGGGCAAAAATCTTTTTCTTTTTCCTTTTTTTTGTCTTTTTTTTTTCATTCCAACATGTACTGTTGGATTTTGGAAATAAAAAGGGTTCCCTACCTGCAAGCTTCACAGTGAAGAGACCAAAAACCTGAGGGCAAATTCCTTGTAGAATAGCATTTCTTCCTGTAATGATTGTGAATATATAAGACTGAAAAACACAAAGAATCATATCACATACTAAGAAAGCAAGAATAGACTTTTTATTAAGAAATAACTAAGAATGGAGATTAAAGAAAAAGAATAGTTTCTTCACCCTCAATAAATGAAGTTTGAGCTAGTTCAATCATAATAATTTACATGTCTCTCCAATGAAAGACTATCTTCTCAAGTATCATTTGAAAGATCAGAATTGTAGTCAGGAATGGTTAGAGATGATAGGATCAAGATCGGTCGAAAAAATAATTTATACTTGAAAAATTATTTTAAAATAAAAAAATAAAATAAAAGTTGAGAAATCAAAACATTTCTTTACCTTTTGTATTTGACGTATATGGAACTTCGCAAATACTAAAGCCAAACATAAGAGACAAAAGTTGTATAAAAAGTAAGTAGGATTGGCCCAATAAAATAATTATATCTATATATAAAATTAATCCATATTAAGATTTAATTCAAATATTTTTGAAGTAATATGCCCTATTTTGGCCTCCATGCTTCTCTAACCATTTTACATGCCACATGTAAAGACAATAAAGTAAAAACTAATATAAAGAGAGTGCCAACTTGATTTGAAGTAACTCCTAAATACCACGGCATGTCCTTCGATGTACTAGAATTCTCATTTCCTTCAAAGTTGACTGTCCTCTACCTCCCTGTTTTTCTTCCTGTGTTCTTTCCTCTGTCTTACATGGCAACAAATATCATGATTATGGGGTTGGTAGCAAATGTGATACTTATAGCAAATAGCATCTGCAACAGTAACGATGTCTCCTCTGTTACATTGCAATAGTAGCATTGGTCTTTCCTTTATCTCGACTCCTCTCTTCTTGTTCTCCTCCTCCTGTTCCTCCTACCCAATCTTTTTCTTCTTTTAATGCTACTAAATTGGCTAAAGTTGGTCATAATTAACCAACTCTAGTATAGTTGGACTGATTCTGGCTCATTTCTACAAAATTCTAACTATAAGGTTGAGATATTGGCCAAAATTATATCATTGTTAGCAGATAATTAAGTGTATCATATTTGTATCAGAATTGGCTGATATCATGAACTATGTTCTCAAGAAAAATCACAAAATGGGGTTCATAGATGGTGCTTGAATAATCAATTACGTAGACATACTGATAGTAGCTCTGATCATGTGTTAGTCACTTATTAAACATTGGGATATATATTGATATGCATTTATTGAAACACTATAGCATGTAATAACTTTCATGGCAGAAAGCACCTCTTAGTGGGGCTGTCTTGTAGTGTAACCAAAATTGCTCAAATTTCTTAATAACGTCATCTGGGATGCCAATTTCAGACTTCAGTTGGTTGGTTCTCCTACAACAGGAAAATTTTACTATGAATTTAAAGAGGGGTGACAGAAGGGGGAGAGAGAGCATATGTACAGACAAGAAACCTAAGAGAGAGCATACACTACTGAAGCTGTTCATAACCCAACTTGTGAGAAATGCAGATGTCTTTCACTGTCATTCCATCAAGATTTTATCTTATTGAATGAAAACAATGCAGTTTCATAAAACTGCAAACATAGACATTGCTAATAAAAAGCTTTCAGACTCTTTCTTGTGCTTAACTTTAAAATTAAGAACAGATCAAAACAAAGAGAAATCATTGATCTAGCTGTGTATCCAAGTAAAAGAGAGATAAAAGAAGGGAACCGACAATAGAGAAGTTTTAAATTATTTGAAAAAATAGGATGAGCAAATTAATGTGAGAGTTAGGCCCTCAATACTACAAATGCCTTGATAGAGTACATATATTGATTCAAATAATTGGTTTTGGGTTGATCAGATGTAACAATTGTTGAATGTGTCTTCATAAATGTACCTAAACATCTCTCTGTACAACATTCAAAGGGACAAGAATGTGTTTTCCAATAGTTGTGCATGAATGTCTCTCTAGAAACGTTTAATAAAATAATTGTACTTTGAGCCTGAGGAACATGAAAGTTTGCACAGTCATGGGAAGTTATATGTTTAAATATGCATAAGTAGTCAAGAAAACAAGCTAATCAAAGCTGCACTATTTGTCCCAAGTTTCCAGAACTACAAATTATGAAAAAGGCTGATTCTTTAGCCTCATCAACTAATGTGTTTGGTCAGGTAGAATATAAGAGAGCGAATATATGCACCAAAAAGAACAAAATCTAGAACAACTAAATCCAGAAACACATTTTTCTCTTCTAGAGATTGTAGCTCAAGTTCAAAAAATTGAATAAGAATATTACTTGTTAATCTATGATAACTACATAGGTGATATTGAAACTTGAGTATATCTTGTTCCAGGTTTTCAACAACAAAAATATAACTATTTACCTCACATAGTTAGCAATTAAGATGGGATCAAGGTCGCAGCGCACGTCCTTTAAATCTGAAGACCACTTTGCTGATAGAACCCCAGTAATAATGACATCATCTGAAGCACAAGGAAAACATCAAGAAGTATCTTAAGAGCAAGTGGAGGATACATCCTCAACATGATCAAATGAGCAGAGAATGAGATTAAAGCAAACCATAAATGCATACTTTTTGCTGAATATTCTTTGGATCATTCTATATAATCAAAAAATAAATAATACAATTTCTATATATAATCTGAAAATGAAATGAGTGTGTTGGGCTTCAACCATATGCCAAACATACAAAGTTCTCAACCATATGCCAATCATACTGTTATGTTTATACATACTGGTCAACTATTTGTTAAGTGCTACTGATACTATTCTAAATCCAGTACACTTCAATTATCAGCTGTCTCTTGGTCGATCACGTGCTACTGATGCTGTATTGGTTGCTACTTGCTAGGCAAACTTAAAATTGAATTTTTCAGCTTCTGGTCCTTGTCGAGTAATATATCTCATTTTAACTTTAGTGCACTTAAGTAATGTTTTAACCATACATAACAGGCCATCATGGTTTGTCCTGCATCAGTTGGTCACATGCCAGATATTATAATAAATTAAAGAATATTTCGGTGTAGTCAGCTAGCATAGAACAATCTGACAAATACCACAAATGGTCAAGTTAGATGCATGAATGTAACAGTTGAAAGTAAAATCAGGGCTTCACAGATCGTGGTACCTCCGGCCTTGACCATATCAACCAGGTCATTCATTAGAATAACTGGAATTGAACGAGGTATAGACCCAACACCCAGCAGTTGTGTGCTTTCTTGGATTTTGATCTCCTGGTAATCATGACATACTTTACTGTCTTCTATAGGAGCAAAGTATGTTCCCTCACAAGTTTTAGACCCCTGTGAAAAATTAAGTTCAATATTTTTCAGGTTTCTTCACCATGGACAGATAGATAGAACATTTACCGGTGAAATCCTAAAGGATAACAAGTGTATAATACTGTAGATGGTTGTTAATATGTAAATCATGCCTCGTATATGAATTGAGCTGGCACAAGCATGACAAAAACAAATGTAACCAACACAAAAACAGAAGAAATAAAAAACAGAATACTAGATAGAAACAATTAAATACAACTTAAAGAAGCATACCGTAGAAGGGCAAGAGGTAGGAGGTTTTATGGACTTTCCGGCTTCCAGCTCAGGATGAACTTTGAACCTAATTACAGATATCAATGAGAACAATGAGTAGTAGTTGCTCATATAAATCAAAGATCGATAAAGATAGTGAGATGACTTTATAATACTCCAGCAACAGAAAAAACCATAGAAAGTATCCAGTCTACTGCTGTGAGAAGTTTGACAGAGAGGAAACTAACAGCTCCTCATCAGCTGTACATCACAGATCTAACTTTGCTGGAACAATGTACTTGCCCATTTTAGATGACATTCTAGGGTAGTAGATACAACTCAATACTAATTGCTTACAGGTATCGAATCCATCTTTGCCAATGAGAACTCATGATATTTAAAGAAGACCAGCACAATCTAGAAGAGTTCATTATAGAAGTTGACATGAGCAACTCTACTCCTTCATACCTAAACACTTACTCAAAAAGGCCATACTTAGATATTTGAAACATCCACTTAGGAAAAAATTGTCAGTTGGAAAAAGAAACTGCTTATCGAGCTTATGTTGAAATATTTGATAACTTGGGGAATTAGGAAACATACCAACCAGCCACAAGACCTAAAAAGTAAAAAACATGGCAATACATACAAAGTTGTACTGTTCAATAGTTTGGTAAACATATATATCAATCTAATAAATCAGTTTAAGCCTTGAGTTCACCCGTAGTTATCATTGTGCCATGCTACCGCCAAACACTTTCAAACTAGATGGCAACATATTATGTTAGGAGCAAGGTATGCAATATCGTACCGTACCGAAATTTCGATGTTCGCTCGATACAGTATGATATTGTGTATATATATATATATATATATATAATTCGGCGACGTCGCCTCTCTCTTCTCTCAGGCGACACGACGTCGCCTCATATATATATATATATATA